TTCCATTATGTAAATTAGTTTTGGGTTTGTAACCGATCTATAAACACGATAAATATGCGCACATAAACGAGTGCAAAATAACATTCCTTGTCATTTGATATAAATACATCTCTTCAATGAATACTGATAAAAATATTTTTGTTTACAACATAAATTAATAATGTGAAAATGTTTTGTAGTTAGATATATATATATATAAGTGAAAAATCATTGATAATATCAATGCACACGTACCGGAAAATTGTGTTAAAGCATGCGGAAGAATATCTCAAAGAACGTTTTGCGACAGGACCGGTAACTCTGTAATTGTTTTTGCGGGAAAATATGAATGCCTACTCGTATCCAATCTTAGAAAAATCGAATTTTTACAGAAAAGTGTCCACCATGCACTTGCATTGCACTATTATTAGAACAGTAGAAAAGAATGATATACAAACGGATGCAAATCATATATATATGTAACTGTTATTTTAATATAATATATAACAACAAATCAGTGTATACTGATTTGTATCACTACAATATAATAGTTATTACGGTGAAGTTGAATTTCCTGTCATTTATTCATCATACTCGCACGCACTTGTCTAGAAAAAAATATATCTCTGTACATTAACCTCAGTTTCAGGTAAAGAGATATGTTGTTTTTTTTCTGAGACAAGTGCTTTTGACCATCATCAAGAACTTGTGGTCATCCGATGTTCAGTACTTCAGTACTTTGATTGACTTTGTCAAGGCGAGATAAAAACCGGGACCCTTCCTCATGCAGTGTATAACTTAGTTCGGGTAAATGTATGTTTTGTTTATTAAATGCGAAGTAAACCTGAAGATTCTGTTTCAAAAATCAGACGACACGACCGTTTATATATATATAATTCTTAAGAAATTAGAGAAACATAACATTTTTGTAACTTGCAACTCGACCTTCGTAACTCGAAACTCGACTTTGCAACTCGCAACTCGACTTTAGTAACTCGCAACTCGACCTTCGTAACTCGGCCTTTTCAACTCGCAACTTGCAACTCGACGATAAGAAACCCTCGGTTGAGACATAATTATTTGCGTTGAAAACTGGTTCAAATGAACTTCGGAGTGAAAGTTTATTTGTTATAGATACCAAATAGTTAAGATTACAATTGCTAATATGCAAATGTCCAGTTGGTTATAAACGTTTTTTGTTCTATTACACATTATTGGTTCAGTTAGACTGCAGTATGAGAAAGACTAGAAACATTCGCTATCCTTTCTTGTCCTACCGAAATGATTAATTATTTAAGATGATTCGCTATAAACATGCCTGTGATATTTCCCACCGTGCGTTAAGCAAACAACATTTGAAATACTGAAAGTGCAGATTTTTTTTACATTTGGATGTAGACAGTTAGAACATATACAATTAACATTTTAGCATTAAAAAGAAATGTATACTAAATGACAAATGTACCAGACATTTGAAACCCAAATGCATTAAATTTAACGCTTAGAATATTGAAGGGTATTTAAAAAGAGGGTTAATATCTGGAATACAGAAGATTGACACGTTATTTGGAATACTGAAGTAAGAGACCGAAATTGCAATTCAGAAGATTGAAACGTTATTTGTCAAATTGAAATACTTAAGTTAGAGACCAAATTAGGAATACCGAACATGGAAGTAAAATTTAACGTATTAAAATGCGCGGAAAGCGGAAATGATGATTATGAAATGTTGAGAAAACATGGTGTTACATGAAATGGTGAGAGGAAATGATGTTGTTTGGAATTTCTAGAGGAGGAATGTTTAGAGGAAATGATGTTGTTTGAATGTTTAGAGGAAATGAAACTTATATTGGCAAGAAGTGAATAGAGATTCTTAATTTCTTAATGCTTCATATCAAACGGATATATATCCTATTTGATTAATTTCAAAATCGTTTTAATTTATAGACAGGACTAATGATTAAAAGGTCAACATTGTTGACAATAATTTACCTTTACGTTTCAAGTTTTGGGAAGACGCTTAATTTTGTGAAAAGTTACTCGAAAAAAAAGTTTTTTCATGAATTTAACCCCCCCCCCCCTTTTTCTCCATCAAATTCTATATAAATACGAATAATATTTTGGCGGGATTTCGCAAAGTGAAGGCTAAGTGCTCATCATCTCTTGTTCTTCGTCAATTGACTTCTTTTTATGAGATATGAGACATATATTTTAGCCGGATTCAAAGCAATGAGATCAACATCATCTAGCTGAGATACTGTTTTCATTCTGACGGGGAAAAATGTTATAAAAAAAATTGAAATGTGCAAAAATATATTTTCAATTTTCGTTCCAACAACTAGTCCTGACTAACCCGACAGATTAGGGCATATTCCAAGTGATATTGCTACTTTTTAATAGATGTTATTCGCCCTTAACAATTGGACAGGGGTTTTCCAACCAAGTATGGAAGTACGTGTCGAACTTAGTAAAAATATTCCATAAAAAGTCAGTCATATTTATTTGATTTCATTCTATGTGTGTTAAACGCAGTGGCGGATCCAGAAATTTTCATAAAAGGGGTCCCTTTAACTGCCTAAGACTAGGGGGCCCGCTCCAGTCATGCCTCAGTGATTCTCTATATTATCAACAAAATTTTTCCCACAAAAGGGAGGCCCTGGCACCCTGCCCCCCTAAATCCACCTCTGGAACGGCATTAATGTTACTGCTCCTGATGCACATGTCTACAATTAACATCTCGTCAGTGGTGCTTAAGACCAATATATTTGAAATTCCAAAACCAGAGACATATAATACAATATTATATGTCTCTGCCAAAAACATAATACAATACTATATGTCTCTGCCAAAAACATAATACAATATTATATGTCTCTGCCAAAAACATAATACAATATTATATGTCTCTGCCAAAAAACATAATACAATATTATATGTCTCTGCCAAAAAAACATAGTACAATATTATATGCCTCTGCCAAAAACATAATAAAAACGTTGAAGAGTTGATGACACGAAACAGGACCAACAACAGGACAAGGCAACAGACCTATGCATGAGGAAGATACACTCCTCGATTTAAAATCATTTTTCAAATTTCAAGTCTAATATCAAACATCAACAAAAGTGCACACGCTGAAATGTCTCGCCTGCTTTACATAAACTAAACATTATCAATGATCCATGAATATGAGGTAAAGTTCAGACAAGCCAATAAGCAAGGCAATTGGCAAACATGTACACCTTATAATCACTTTATACACCAACTATAGTTGACCTATAGCGTATGTCATAGTATATTCAAGAAACAGACCAAAACACAAAAACTTAACCTAATCACGTAAATTTGACCAATAAACCGTTAAAAAGAGATCAAGGTCATATGAAACCTGCCAGACTGACATGTACACCTTACAATGATTCCATAGACCTATTGCTTACAGTATCTGAGAAACAGACTTAATACTGTAAATTCAGAAATTATTGCGTGCATTTATTATTGCGATTTTTCAAGAAAAGACAAAAATGCGAGATTAGTTATTGCGATTTCAGGAAAATCTTTACATAGCTATAAGTATCAGATATCAGAATGCGAGTTCTTATTATTGCGATACTCAACCATTTGCATTATTCGCAATAATAAAAACCTTGCAATAATTTCTGAATTTACAGTAGTGATTTTAAAAGTTAATCTCGCAACTTTAACCTTGATCACTTTATATATTTTATATTTATAATTTTTATATTTATATATATTTTATAAGTCACTTAGTGATTTTAAAAGTTAATCTCGCAACTTTAACCTTGATCACTGATTTATGAAATGAGATTTGAGGTCAGTGAACCCTGTCTGACGGACAAGTAGACCTTGCAAAGAACCCATATACCAAATATATATCCTATTACTCATAATAGGTATGAAATTCACCTAACCAAAAAACTTCACGTTTTTAAAGCAGTCGCTGAACCATGAAAGTGAGGCCAAGGACAACGGACATATGACAGACGGAAACTTTGTAGCATACTGCATCTGTATACAAAATATGAATCCTCCAGGTCTCACCGTCTGTCAGATTGTAATATCTATGTCAGTTTTTCATGCCAGTACCAAATTTCTAGATTCTGGGTTGGGATATATTATTTCTAGCAACTGTGACTTTGAACTACTGAACTTAAAATCGATAGGTTTCCTCCATTCGACCACTTGTATAAGTTTCATCGAAACCTAGCAAGTGTTCCACAAAATAGACCCAAAGAAATAAACTGCATATTTTTTCCATAAATTATGGCCATCTTTAGCATGTATATGACCTTTAAACCTGGAAATCGATAAAATTCTTCTCCTTTGATATTTCTTTTGCCTATATAAGTTTTAATTTAAATCAACAAAGTCTGCAAGAATACATGTCACACTAGCTGGACAGTGGACACATTATCACAATTCCAAGTGGACCAGTCTTTGCTCCTGCTCTTTAATGCTGCATGCTTAGGGGAGAATCAGCATATAAATTTTCAAGTCATTGGTTTGACCCGTTAAGGGATTGACCGAGAACATCTGAGACTCAAGCACCCTATTATGAGACCACCAAGTGGTAAGCAAAATTGGTCTAGATGGTTGTCTATCGTTAAAGACATAATGTTGACTCTGGATGGCTTGTTTTGGTTGGTTTCATTTTACTTATGTGTTACATTACATGCTTAGCAATTTATGCCTTCTCAACATATTGTATCAATGTTGACACCTGTATAGAATAGAATAGAATGTTTTTATTTCCCAAATTACAGGGCCCATAAACATGATAAAGGGCATAAAATCAGTTACAATTATTGACATAATTGATAATTACAACAATAAACAATAATGTATATATATACATGTATTGTTGAAGAATGCATTTTGTCCCCTAGATGTCTTATGGTTACTTTTTTTGTCAGATTGCTGTCTTGTTGACTTATACCAGAAATGCCTTTTATTCATATTATACATTGTATATTCCCTTTTGGAAATTGTACACAAGAAAATATTTTTTAATCATTTTATTTACCATGTTTACAATTGTTTATGACTTTCCATTGTTTAAAAACTTTTTGTTCAACAAGTTCAATATTATAAGTGTCTTTACATGCATAACATGAACATAATAAACATGGATAGAAATACATATATATATATATATATACATACTAAAAGGCCTTTCCCTTTAAGCTCATCCATGCATGACAAGCAGACTTGAAAGAGAGCAAGCTATAAAACCATACTTAAACTGCATGCTTAGCAATTCAATTTCATCCATTTACACCACTGCACACTATTTAAAATTAAACTTGTTTAAAGGACCCGTAAAAATGTAAATTTCAATTAGGTCTAGCCAATTTAAGGAGCTTGCCTGCATGACCAGTTGGGCATATTTGATTTCTACCGCTGAATAAAAAGATTATACAATCAGGCATTATTTTTCTTTCTTGTGTTTCAGAATCATATGACGTCGAAGTATTGACTGATCATTGAATGTGTCTTCACAGAGACTACATACAAATGGGCGTTCACCAGTGTGTATACGTTGATGTCGTTTTAGAGCACTTGACTGTGTAAATGTTTTCCCACAATCCTTACACAAATATTCTCTTGTACTAGTGTGAGTCTTCATATGCATGTATAGTCCTGCTCTAAACTTAAATGCTTTAGAACACACGTCACAAACATGCTGTGGTACTTTATCATGAACTTGTTTATGCTTTTTGACATCATAAGCAGTTTCACAACCTTTACCACAAATGTCACATAAATGTTCCTTAGTATTAACGGCACTGTTTCCATGTTTAACTTTCATGTGCCTATCAAGTGTCCTCTTTTCAAGCCAAGATTTTTTACAAATTTCACAACTAAACAATTCTCTCTCTTCCACCGACAAGTGAACTCTTTTCAGATGCTGTTGCAAAGTATGTTTAGATGACAATTTCTTTTTGCATATATCACATTCAAATTTACGGGCATCATTCCCATCTTGATGAAGCCTTATATGCATAGGATAGTATGACCTAAGAACTACTATTTCACATGTTTCACATTTTTTAAAAATGTGTTTTTGCCTTTTGTGATTATATAAATGTTGTGTAGTACAAAAACTTCTACTACATAGTTCACATTTATGTACAGGTTCTGTTTTAGCATGATTCCTTGCAAAATGCTGTGTAAGTTGTTTTTTTGAACGAGCATATGGTAAAAAATTCACATAAGAGCAAAATCCACATTCAGACTTTGCCATATCTGGATTTTCTTTATCCCTTATAAGTTTGCCAGCATTTTTCTGCAATGTAAACACTGTTTCTTCATACTTGAAATTTTCAATTTCTTCTGGGAGGACATGTAAATCCACATCAGGATGATGAACGTCAACTTTACATGTTTTTGGATTCTTTCTTTTTCTTTTCTTATTTTTACCTGGGTTTGATAAACTTTTTTCATCTTGAATGTTTTCAGTAAATGGGTAGTTGTTTTCATCCTCATAGTCATTGTATTTATCAGGACCTAATACAATTTCCTTTCCACTGCTCTCTATATTACTCTCATTATCATGATCTGATTGCAAGTCTGAAGAATTATTCAGGAGTTTTTCATCAAAATCTTTTTCATCTGTCATGTCTGTGGGTTCCAAGTCATTTTTGACTTTTGCATTTTGAAAATTGTAGAGAATGTGGTTTTGCTGTACATTATGATTAAATAACACTGGGGTAGAATCATTTGCTTCTTTGTTCACCATTCTTACAATTTCTGTGGAAGAAACAAAATCTGAAAGTATAGTTGTTTCAGTATCTTTTGATGCAATGGTGTGGTCTTTGTTATAAGTTTTTTCTGTGCTTCTGTCTTTGGTTACTCTCTGGTCTTTTGTACAGCACTTGAGGATTTCAATTCCTAGTATATTTGAATCGATACGTCTTTGTGGTTTTTCTTTTATCTGACAATTTGAATTACCAAGATCACTTTCATCATTTTCCTGATGAACGAGTAATGACTTTTTATTTTCATTCAAATCTGATACCAATGTTGAAGAATCACTTAAAGAATCATCTACATTTACACTTAGTTGTTGGGTGAAAGTGTGTATTATTTCGTTTGCTCGAATAATATCTACAAACCGTCCTGAAAATACATAATCAACTCCATTGACATTGTCCGTATTTTTCTGAGAAATTCTTACTCTTGTTTCCGAATTCAACTTCTCGAACAATTCGCATTCTGGGTTACATAGGAAATTTTTCAATGATGCAGAAAAACTTGGCAAAAGCAAAGTATCTGTGTGGTCAAAGACGAGGTTGGAGACTAAAACACATTTTCAGGATCAAGGGGACTAGTATGCAATGGGAAAGAAACTAACGACATTCTATCAATAATTTAAAGACCCAACCCTAAGAGAGACCACAACGGACCATGCAAATCTAGCTCCCTCTGTAGACTGTGTGACAAACAAATTTGAAATGTTTTAGAATTATTTCAAGCATATTTTATTGTCTAGGATGTTGTCAAATAGATTGTGCTCAAATATGCAATTCTCTCTGAAAAAACAAAATTTGTAAAGCTGCAGAACTGAGATAAGTTGATTTTTTAAAATTTTCCTTTGAAAATTAAGGGTCTTGGTGGGGCTCCCTCATTTCTTTATATACATTTTAAGACCATTTCCGCTATTCTTTATTTATTTTTGCCCATTATTTTTTTTTTTTTATATATACTTATTTGGCCAATTATTATCTCAGATTAATTATATTTAAGCATCCAATTATTCCCTACTTTAATATATTCTCTATTTAAAAAAAAATTGTCCTTTATTCTGCACTGTTTGCAAATTATTCTCTATCCTCTAAACACACAGTTAACGTGGAAATGAAACAAAATTAATTGGGTAAAGAAAACAAGAATTCTTGTTCCTGTATGATATCCAACAAGAGGCTCTCAAGAGCCTGAATCGCTCACCTGTATTTCAGAGGAGAAGATTTTTAAATGTTAGCAAACTTGATGAACAAATTGTGTAAAATTGTCTTTAAAGGGCAATTACTCCTTAAGGGGTCAATTGACAATTTTGGTCATATTAACTTTTTTGTAGATCTTACTTTGCTGAACATCATTGCTGCTTACAGTTTATATATATCTATAATAATATTCAAAATAATAACAAAAAACTGCAAAATTTTGTTAAAACTACCAATTCGGTGGCAGCAACCCAACAATAGGTTGTTTGATTCGTCTGAAAATTTCAGAGCTGATAGATCTTGACCAATTGAACAATTTTAAACCATGTCAGATTTGCTCTAAAAGCTTTAGTTTTTGAGATATAAGCCAAAAACTGCATTTGACCCCTATGTTCTATTTTTAGCCATGGCGGCCATGTTTGTCAATGGATCAAAATTTCGAATATAATTTATAAACTAGATACCCTAAAGAACATTAAGTTAAAGTTTGAAGGTATTTGGCCTAGTAGTTTCAGAGGAGAAGATTTTTGAAATAGTTTACGACGACAGACGACAACAGACGACGACGACAGACGACGGACGACGACGGACGCCAAGTGATGGCATAAGCTCACATGGGGCCCTTCGGGCCCCGGTGAGCTAAAAATAAGGTTGGAAGTTACTTCAAAGCATGTACAAGAATTAGTTCGTTCTCTAATGCGCATGTGCTAATATTTGTCAATAAACAGCGATTAGTTTTACTATAGATTTATATAGGATAATTTTTTATTACTTTATTCAAGGATTTGTTTAGTAAGACAAATATACAAATCCTTGCTTTATCAATATAATTTCATCTCTTAACCCTTATGATTTTTTTCTTCTGCGTGATAAAATAAAGTTTATTAAATGTTTAAACATTATATTGGTGTATATTTTATGAAAATATGATTTTTAGCTCACCGTTCAGAAGGAACGGGGAGCTTTTGCCATCACTTGGCGTCCGTCGTCGTCTGTCGTCGTCCGTCTGGTGTAAACTATTTCAAACATCTTCTCTGAAACTACAGAACCAATTCCAACCAAACTTAAGTTGAATGATGCTTAGGGTATCTAGAATAAAGTTTGTGTTTTATTTACTGTTTCGTCAAATAACATGGCCGCAATGGCTAAAATAGAACATAGGGGTAAAATGCAGTTTATATCTCACAAACCAAAGCATTTAGAGCAAATCTGACATGATTAAAGTGTTCATTAGGTGAAGTTCTATCAGCCCTGAAATTTTCAGTTGAATCTGATAACCTATTGTTGGGTTCAACCGGTTATCTTGAATATTATTAATGATAAAGATAAACTGTGAACAGCAAAAATGTTCAGCAAGGTAAGGTCTACAAATAAGTTCATATTATCAAAATTGTCAATTGACCCCTTAAGGAGTTATTGCCCTTTAAGGACAATTTTACACAATTTGTTGATCATGTTTTCTAACTTTAAAACATCTTCTTCTCTGAAACTACTGAACCAATTCCAACCAAACTTAAGCTGTATGATTCTAAGGGTATCTAAAATAAAGTTTGTGTTTTATTTTCTGTTTCGTAAAAAAACATGGCCGCCATGGCTAAAAATAGAACGTAGGGGTAAAATGCAATTTTTGGCTTATATCTCAAAAACCAAAGCATTTAGAGCTAATCTGATGAGAGGTAAACATGTTTATTAGACCAAGCTCTGTCAGCCCTGAAATTTCAGGATGAATCTAACAACCCATTGTTGAATTGCTGCCACTTAATTGGTAATTTTCAGGAAATTTTGCAGATTTTGGTTATTATCTTGAATATTATTAATGATAAAGATAAACTGTAAACAGCAAAAATGTTCAGCAAAGTAAGATCTACAAGTAAGTTCGTATGACAAAAATTGTCAATTGTCCCCTTAAGGAGTTATTGCCCTTTAAAATCAATTTTTCACAATTTGTTCATTTAGTTTGCTTACTTTAAAAAAATCTTCTCCTTTGAAACTGTTGAATCAATTTCAGCCAAACTTGGGCTGAATGAGTTTCAGAGTATCTAGTATAAATGTTGTATTTTATTTTCTTGTACGTCAAGAAACATAGCCACTATGGCTAAAATGAAACATAGGGGTAAAATGCATTTCTTTGATTTTGAAGAAAATATGACAGATACAAAGAACATTTCAATGGAAGTTTTAAGCCATTAATTAATATATATTGAAAAGTTAAATTAATCATTGATGAAAGATTTAAGCAAAAAATTACAGGTGAGCGATTCAGGCTCTTGAAAGCCTCTTGTTAAAACACCAGTCACTTTCGATTCGAAATTTACTACCATAAATAGAAAAATTGCCCGTTCAATATAAATAGAAAGGCATTTCTCGCAAATACTCTGACATGTTTATACTAAAATAAAAAAAAAATTTGCAATTTTCTTATTTAAGCGTCGAAAGTTTAAGAAACTCAACAGATGTCAAAATAAAATGATGTATTTAACCAGAGACATATACATCTTCATCGGTCTTTTTATGGTTGAAAATTGAAAAATTGTAAAATTCACCACGAAATATAGAATTTCACATTTCACATAGTGGAATACGAGATCATACGAAGACGTAGGAAACATATTTATTCTTATATGATAGTATAGTTTTATCCTTTAGAATTAGGAGAAATAAAATATATGTGAATACATGTACATGTATGGAAAGCCTCAGCTGTCATATATTAGAGATTTACAAAACGTTATGCTGAAGCTTGAAATGTAAAGTTAAGACAGAGTGATGTTGAATTAAGTCATCAAAATGCTAACTCTAAATTACAATATGCTAAGTTGAATTTGCGCAATGTTGACTTGCAATGACAAGTGCTTTAGTCGTGATAGTATAATGATAAGTCACGATGTTGTGATGATATGCTAAACACACGTAACGTTGGGTTTAAAGTACATGATGTGAAGTTGACGTTGCATGATGTTAGCTTGCAGATGGATACTGCTCAGTCATCCACTTCGATAGCTATGATAACAAATAAAATGATTAGCTAAAATGTATGGTGCTAACTTGTTGTTAATAAATGTTGAGCTGAGATAGTACGATGTTATATCAATGTGATATAACGATAGGTCTATCATGCAATCTGTTGATTTAAAACACCATGATGCACAGTTGAAAGTACATGATGTTAAGTTAAGATAACACGATGCTACACCACTATATTGAAACGAAAGGCTTACCATACAATTTGTTGACTAAAAACAACACGATGCAACGTATTAAGCTAAGATGCTCACTTGAAACTACACGACGTACAGTTGAAATTTTGTAATGTTCAGCTACAATAGCACGATGTTATATCATTATAATGTCACAATAGGCTTATTATACAATTTGCTCATCTAAAATTACACCACGTACAGCTGAAAGTACGTGATGTTAAGCTAAGATAGCACGTTGTTACATCATTAGAATGTCACGATAGGCTTACCACACGATATGCTCATTTAAATCTACATGACTTTCAGTTGAAACTAGGTGATGTTAATCTAAGATAGCATGTTGTTATATCATTTGAATGTCACGATAGGCTTACCATACAATATGCTCATTTAAAACTACACAATGTACAGTTGAAAGTATGTGATGTTGAGCTATGATAGCACGATGTTATATCGTAAACATATCACGATAGGCTTGCCATACAATATGCGCATTCAAAACTACAAGACGTACAGTTGAAAGTACGTGTTGTTGAGCTAAGATAGCACGATGTTATATCATTATGACGTCACGAGAGGCTTATCAACTACACGATGTAAATTTGAAGTAGTTTGGTCTTGACTTGAAACAGTAAAATGTTAAGTTATAAAAACAGAACGTAAAGTCAAAATAAAACAATGATAGGATGACATATACTTGTGCAGAATTGAAGATTTTTGGTGTTGACTTCGAATATAGTACAAATATCAAATCGTTTTATGTTAAATTGAAAGACAATAATGATGCGTAAAACATTACAGAATTACGTGAATTGAAACTGCAATTCTATGGAAAAGAATGAGGGACAAATCCCCAGGATTTTTTCTTCTTCATTTGCAAGTTGATCATCGGAATATTAATGAGATTGAACTGCGGAGGCAAAATGATATACAAAGAAAGTTTTCCATAAATTCATAAAGCAAAAGAATTACCCATCGCTATATATTACACTTGAATACAATTTTGCCGTATATTTTACATGTTTTGTTTGGATTTTTTTTTATGATTAAAAATCAGACTTTATTTATGAACAATATTTAATAAAATATTTATCTATGTTGTGTGTTAGTATATACAACATAATATTGTGCTTATAAGACTTACGACTGTGAGGGTCAAATTTTACTCATATAAAATCACATCT